GAAAATTTACTTAGAGAGAAAATGTTACATTAGACTTTCACAAAAAAATTAATAAAAGAAAAGCACTTTATAATCAGTGTGCACAATTATTTGGCATTCAGAAACTAAGTGGATTTTCCCTCTTCACCATAAACAGAAATAATAATTAATAATAAGAAATATTTTTTGTTATTCAGTATATATAACGAATAATGGTCTACTTCACCACGTTTAGTGTTCTGTACAGCCACCTTCCTTCTCAATGACCATCATGAGCCTGTTCTCCATTGAACCAGTCAGGTTTTTGATTTGATCCCATCTATTATTAGCTGAGGCAGCTAGGACCGCTTCCCAGATACAGCTCTGAGAAATGTACTGCTTGCCTTCTTGGTAAATCTCATTCTTTAGTAAGGCCCAGTAGTTCTCAAAGAGGGTTAAGTCAGTCGATGAAGGGCCTCGTCATAATTCAGTCACCTTCCAAGCCTTTCTAAGCCAATCTATGGAATACTTTGGTGCATGGGAAGGGGCATTGTGCTGCATGAATCATCTGCAGCCAGAAAGGTCTGAAAGGTTCATCACTGATAATTGTGGCCCCCTATCATCTCCTGCACCACCGTGAAGAAGGTGTCCATCCGCTGGCCCATCCATCTGCTCCATCAAGAGTCACTTTCATCTCGTCTGTCCACAAAAACCTTTGTAACATCAGTCTTGACGTGACGTGTCTGTGTCCATTCTTAATGTTTTACCTTGTGCACCATATTGAGGAGGTCATGTTTCAGCCTTCGTGACCGTAGCGATGTCACGCAGTACACTGCACTTAGTACTTCCGGAGATTCTGTTCAGATTGCAGTTTTGAAAAATTATGACACTTGATGCTAAAGGGTTTCTGGAAGTCTCCCCTTGAATCTGGCACAGACCTTTGGCAGTTAATTTGTTGTCTTCTCTTTAAATGCTTCTTTAGTCCTCTTTGGCTGTTGGCCACAAAACACTTGATTATACGGTGATCATGTTTCAAAAGTCTGGTAATTTCAATTGTTTTGCATTCCTCTGACTGGCACTTTGCTATGTTGTTTTTCGTCTGCTGTCTTTAAGGTCCTTTTTTGGCCCATTTTAACAGTAATAATAATTTGCTTAATAATTCTGCGCAAGAAAGTATCTATGTTTTCCTGTTTTTCTGCAACCAGAAAGTACTCAGACCAAATACTGAACCTGCTCTGCTTTCAAACAGTTCACTCTTAATTAGAGATTCATCTGGACTGAAAATATTGGTCAGAAAAGAGGACACACTTGCCTAATAATTTTGCACACAGAGTAATATTGCCTGGTGGATAGATTTACATGAACCATTTTACACAGATTTTAGTTTTACTTATAAGTCATACAAGTATAAATCTTATTTATACTTATATGAAGACGTGTCTCTGCAAAGAATTCAAGAGGAATCCTGCCTCTCTGTCCCTGTAGCTCGACCTTTAATGCATTGTACTCAATATGTAGCAGTCTTGGGGTCGAATCCCAGGGCAAACATATAAATTGATGACCTTTCCTTGCAGTGTAAGATGCTAAAAAAAGTGTCCAAAAAAGATGTCTGGATTCGCTCCCACAGTGCCTTATGCTCCATGTGTGATAGCAGACACTCTGGTGCCTATTAGTGACTTTTGCCCATTTCCTCCTCTATCCCCAGCACCGTTTTCTGAAGGGGGCAAAACCCCTGTCCAGCCTCACCCCCCTCATTCTGGCCGCCAAGGAAGCAACCAAGAACAATCGATAGATGCATCTTCCCCGGACTGGCTGTCCTGTTCTCCTCCCCCCCCCCAGTGAAGGCCCCTCTGCGGGTCTCCCCCAGTCTCATTTGCAGACTTCCCGCACCCAGTTGCCAAACGGCAGACGAAAACAAGCCACTGATCTTCGAAGGGACCTCGTTGCCATGGGAACCCCATTGCATTTCCTCTTTGGGGTCCTGAGCTAGGATGATATATTTTAATATTGAATGGTTATTTGGCATAATAGCAGTTGTTCCTACTGTAGCTCTGCAATTTCACAGGTACAAATGATGAATAGATTTTCTTTTGCTATATTCAGGTTTTGGCTTTTTTTGTCCTCTTGCTATTTTTACATCTGCATTGCAACAAAATTAAAAAGATCAGAATTAGTACTCTATATTTATAGGATATTCACTATATAAATCCTATTTAATATTGATTTTATTTTGCATAAGGTGTATCAGTCTGTGCTAATGTGTGTTAACGGATGTTGCTTTTTGTTTATATCAGTGGTTCTCAAACATTTTGTCTGGAGATCCCCCCCCCCCAAAAAAGAAACAATTCACTGATCCAATAGCACATGCTCTGTTTCAGGGGTAATCCACTATTTGTCCTTGAGGTCCACACAGCGACACAAAGCCAAGGTCTGGGGGCGAGTGTCTCCAAAATAAAATACGCCAGTGCTAAAACTTGCTAACGGATTGTTTGCTATATTAATTAATGGGGGGAGGAGAAAAAAATGGTTATAAACTTGTTTGGAAAATCATCTCGTGACCCCTCCCAATTATTCAGCGAGCCCCTCCCCCACTAAGGTTCATGACTCACAATTTGAGAACCACTGCATTATGCTGTCCGATTCACTTTAGCTGTATCAATACTCCCAGCAGAATTCTAAATAATAATGTCCTGGGTGGCAATTAACTTTTGGGGGTGGGAATGTCATTACCTTGCCAAAAAAAATTTCAAGTACTGAGATGCAGAACTCCCACCATCGTATTTATTCAGTGGACAATGCTGGTTTGGTTGCACTGTTTCTGTTTGCAGTTGGAATTTGACAGTAGAAAGTCATATTTTATGTATATCAATTCCTAAATTATTTATTCATAATAATACTGTTTACAGACATAAGACACCGAATAAACATCCCTGTTTTTTCCCTGGGTAACTGATTATGAATGTATTTGTATTGTGTCTGAATTTGGTGATGGTGATACATTTTAATTCTGATATGAATGACAAAAATCAGAGGCTCAGCTCAGATTTCCTCTGTGATCTTTGGAGGCTTTTCCCCACCCTCCCACCCCCCAGTCATCACAGAGATGCCACCTTGCAGCTGGACTACCTGAATCTCCAAGTGATTCCCTGCATCGCAGCTGCTGGCTCTCAAACCCAGTGTCTCAATATTCAGGTTGTTGGAAGCGATCTGCTTATCAAGTCAGGAGCAGAGACTTGTGCAATATGGCAACAAAACAGCAGCTCAGCAAAAACAACTCAGGAGCCACTTGTCTATTGTTTTTTTCCCATTTCATTAGCTAAAAAACTTAATAAGCAAGACAGGACATATTTACACTGATGCAGTTTTGTGGATTCCTGTGTTCACTCACTGAGCACCATATTCTGGTTCAGGAGGACACTGCTCCGACAGACTGTGACACTTTGAACCTCAGCAAGCTGTTACATTGTGAGTCTATAGCTACGTTGTAGCTAGCTCCTGAACATTCATTTCCATAACTACTTGTCCTGTGCTGGGTCACAGGGGTCCAGAGTCTATTCCAGAAGCTACAGGAGCAAGGAGGGGGTAACCCAGGATGGGGTGCCCATCTGTCAGGGTACAACACCATTCATACCTACAGTTTAGCAACTGTACTTAGCGTGGTTTTGGACTGTAGAGAGACCCCAGAGGAAACCCTATGACGACACAGGGAGAACATGCAAACTCAACACACACAGGGCAGAGACTCAAACCCTGGTCCTAGAGGTATAAGTGCTAACTACCAAACTACTGTGCCATCTGACCACTTATTTATTTAATGATATCTCAAGTTAAATGTCAAGGTGTACTTTTTAGAAATAAGGAGCCCCACCTCTCCAGATATTTGATGTCTCACTCTGCTTCCTGTTTGACACATGAAAAGAGACTCAAGCGTTTACCTTCAATGAAAAGTTTAATGAAAAGACCTTGTGCATAATTAGCTGTAGTTTTATCTGAACAGAACTCTTGAGTGTCACATGAATGCGCACAGAGGTGGGGGAAATGCTAGGCACTGCTGATGATAAACTACACACCCTTTTCACTTTTGTACCCCCTGGTCTTCTTTAGAGGTCTCTGACCCTGATTCTGCATATCGCTCCTTTCTCAAACCAGAGAGCTAGCTTTCTGTGTGGGAGAGCCTTGTGAAAAGGATACTGACTGCACCACTTATGTCTTCCTCTGCACTCATCGCAGAACTTTTTTTTTCTTCCAAGGTTATTGAAAAGTACAGCTAGTATCCTCGGGAACACACTGTTCTGACACCTATATAGATATCTAGTCCATTTAGACGTGCCTTTTTCTGGCCATGAAAGAGTGAAGGGCTGAGTAGCAGGAGCATTGAATTATTATTTCACTGTTAGTTATTTACTTTTACATTCCAGATGGGCCTATTTGAAGCCACACATCATTATTAGGTGCCAGTGTTTTATAACTGGTTTTCAAGTTCTGGGTTGTAATGGGCCTAGAGCTCAGGTATTATGGCAAGAGAAACATTGTTATTATTGTCTAGTCATACATCCATTAACTGCTCACCCCCAATGGGCTAGTGGGGTATTGTTATTAGTGGGATATTGTTATTTTTATAATAATCATAGCAGATATCAAAAAGGAATTATGCTGCATTACTTTAAAAAAGGATTTTATATACAGTGTTTGTACAGCTAAAGGTAGGTTATGTTGACTTGTCACAGATACAGTGTTAGTGGTTTGACTCCAGCCCAGTCCAACTTTGAGCCTCTAGGCTATTTATAAATGTCCTGGGTTGTGTGTTTTCCCCATTTATTCCAAGACACAGGTGGATTTAAGCTGATGCAGCAGCAATGTTTTTCCACGAGTCTTGTTTGGAAATATAGAACAAGGGTCCCAAGAGGTTCCATGTGTTTTGTTTTTCAAAAAGTCTTGTGAGGTATGTAGCTGAGACCAGAAACATTGAACTGTTAACTGGACTGATAGGATACCTTACCGATTTTGTTACTATTTAAAAAAAATGTACCAGCCTCTTAACTAACACAGGTCATACTGAAATTTGTAATGTCTTCAATTAGATATAACGATGATCAGTCTGTATATGTATAGCCTGTCTCTTACACATCGAATCTGCTCTCAAAAAGTTTGTTTCATATGAGCCTGAATTTTTCCTTACGGCATTACATTTTAAAACACATTGACTACATAACTAATGTTTTTTCAGTCTCTTTATGAATCCGGCCAAGGTCCAAGCCTACCCCTCCCAGCTGGAGATACCCATTCACAAAATACCCCACGAGGCTCGATGCGACCCTGGTCGCGTTCTATTCGAGTGGGATAATTTGGGGAAACACCACCCACTTTGGATTGGGGAGGGGGGTCCATTTGCACATCGAGGGGAATCACAAGGAGATCAGGCAGACGAAAACCCGTGTAATCAACAGGTTGAATTCAGTTCTGCAGATTTTACCAGCGATTTGCACCACGGTGCTCGTTTCCCAGCGCAAACAGCGACCGAGCGACGCACTGCGGATTCACGGAGCCGTCACTGGGGATGCAAAGGACGGCTCCCGGAAACTTAAACGCATCACTTACGAATGTAAGTAGGGCACCGTTTGCATTATATTTCTGCACGGACGCACTTCGTCGTTAAATGGAGAGAACGAATGGAAAAGCGAAGCGCTTCGCTGCGGCATTTCCTTGGGTACAGCTCTCAGTGAAATGATCAATGGTACCGATTTGTTATGGTAAGGCTGTCTGTACAACATAATGGAAGGCATTCAGTTGCAAGCACAGTTACCCGCGCATGTGTAGGATATTGCGATATTTTGCCGCTTGTCTTCTGTACCTTTAACGCGTTAATATCGAATAAAGAAGAAACATAAAATAGTGTAGAGCATTATAGATGCGCATATTTATATCGTATCATTTAAACGGAATAATGAACGACGCTGCCTTAAGCATCCTTTCAATAATCTGAGTTTTTTAAGGATTTTTTCTGCACATGTGAATTTGTAAGGGCGATTTGAGCATGTTTAAAGTGTTGTGCGTACCAGTAAACCCAAGAAAAACTATAGCTGGCTGCAGTTTTGGTGGGGGGGGGGGGGGCTTTGAGGACCGCTTATTTCGTACAAATGACGTAATATCCACGGTTCATGACTGATTATTTGTCTACAGATTTCCTCTCCCAAAAGGGTCACAGATTCAGTATAATTCGATTTGTTTGTGTTCTTTCCATTATTTGTTACAAAATAGCCTTGTGGTTGGATAACAAAGAAGGTAAACAGTCGTAAAACAATCCAACATAAAACCAAGCACAAAACAGCATGTGATACATGCCACAAGATTGTTATTCTCTTCTGTCTGAGTAGTGTTCATAAGGAAGTATATATATATATATTGTTAGCGAAATGTTAATTGCAACTTATATTGCAACAGTTATAGTTACCTGCACTCAGAAAAACGGGGTAAAAATGTGTTCCTTTGCTTGTCACTGAGTGAAAAGGGTCTGCATCCATAGTTATAGGTCATTATACCTTGTAAGGTACAGAAATGGACTCTGAGGAACATTTCTGTACCATTGATGGTGCACTAATGCTGTGTGTACCTTAGGGATGTTCCTTTTCTTTACCTTAAAAGGTACATTTACAAGAGTGCAGCCCCACCAACAAGCAAAGGTACAAATTTTGACATTTTTTTTCTGAGAGCGTGGTGTGAATGAGCCTGCTCATCACATTTAACACACTTCCCAAACACCTAATCTGCAAAAAGAATACCACTGCTCAGAAAGAAGTTCCTCAAGTGTCATTTCCAGCAGGGAATCTTGCCAGGACCCCCCAAGGAAAATTCTGACATACTTGAATCTAAATTGAGTAAACCTTGGCACACCTTCACAGAAAGATGAAGCACTTCTATAATACCTACAAGAAAAATCTTTGGCAGCAGGTTCGCATCCAGGAGATCATCCTGATCTTCATCACTGAGTATCCTTTTCTCTCTCCTTGGCGACAAGCTTCCAGCCATCTGGCACAGGAGAACCCAAGCTGGACGGATACCCCTTTCCTTAGAGGGGAGCTCCAGATTCTCTGGCTTACAACATGCCTGTGGTTTCCATGGTGATGGCTATTTGTTAATTAGTCTAAGTTTGACCTTAATGCCATTCTTGTTAACCATAAGAAGCTTCAGTATTTCCCTCCTTGTCACACCGATAATGTCCTTGAGAATTCTCTCCAAAAGCTGGGGGGTTTATTTCTCTCGTGTTTTTATCCCAGACATTCTCTGTCTAGCCGTAAGATGGTGAAAGGATGATTCATGTTTGCGAAAGTGAAGTGCGCAGCGAGGAAATGAGCAAACTCTCCCACTCGCGTTGGAGGCTGTGCAATATTGATTCCATTTTTTTTGTACGGCTCTAAGAGGGAACCTGTGTTCAGCTGCTTTGTGGTTTCTGGAGAGTACGTCTTATCACCTGATAGGCAGCTTGAATGTCAGACTTATATATAATATATAAAGTAATTAAGAGCTTAGTTCCAGCAAAACCCAGAATATCCTGTGTCCCACAAGGATCACACATTGTTCTCAAATATCAACATGGAAGGCTTTGGATGTGGATATTTTCATTTCATTTGTTTTGTTTTGTTGTTTTTGGAGCCAAAATGTGATTTTAAGTCGAAAATGCCTCCTGAAAGTAGGACTCTCGGAGATGAGATGCCCGGCCCTGAATTCCGATGTGGGCCAGCCGTCTCAGGGAACGTCCACCAGCAGTTGCCATAGCAACAGTCGCTGGGCAGAGACCGCGGCTTACTCGGTGCTCGCTCTCTCCAGAGGAGCGGGGCGGTGGGGCCGTGGAGTACGCACTTCGTTACCGGGAAACGACCACGCATCCTTCAGTGCAGGACGCGGCCCTCAGAGCTGCGTCGGTATTTCGAGAATGTGCCAAATGTTTTATGGGTTCCATATCCGCACATTTCTAGACGAACAAAGGAGAATAATAGTGTCGGAACAGCATGTGGGTCAGGCCCACTGGGTCTGATGAACTCGCTCCATCCCGCTGGCACTACACCAGTACGTCTCTCAGATTGACAGCCCTAGTTTTAGCCACTTGACGGCACTGCTGATTCTGATGGTCGTGTAAGAGCTTCTTCCCCTCCTCCCATCCCTTCAGCTCAATTTCTCTCTTCTCCCTGTCCACAGCTGGCACCCCCCGTTCCTTCTGCAATGGTTTGGGCCGTGTGAAGCATGGGTCCAACGCCAGTGACCCTATCCAGGCTAAGGCTGGGAAGGCTCAGGGTGGTGCGCCGGCGGCTCCTGCAGCGCTATGAGCACCAGCCTCTGGTGTCATGCCTTGCCGGGCTCTACGGCTGCCAGTGGCGGCGATACCAGCGGACACGTGCACCCCCTGGTGGCAGCTGCTGTAACAAGGTCAGGGGTCATCCACAGCCACTGTGTCAAGTTCAGTGGTCTTTGTTGTCAAACAATTCCAGAAAGTGAAAGCATGAGTACATCTTAGATTTTATGTCTCTGTCTCCGGCAGGTGGAGTGTGCCAGCGTGGCACTCCTAGTGGTTACGTTCGGCTTAACCCTGGTGTTCCTGTATTTCTGGAGTGAAGCTCAGAATGATTACAATGACTTTGACTGGTGGGTCTGTCATCCATGCATTTATAGGTGACCCTGGGAAAGTGGTAAAACCCCTTAGCCAACAACCGTAGTTTTCCTACACTGTGTTAAGTAAAACCCTGAGAATAGCAGGATAAAGTTTTTGCGTGCTGTTACAGACCAAAACCTTGAGCATAACAAGATAAATAGGATTAAATAACTGATGTTGTTACACCCTGTTACAAAGCTGACTGATGCTGACTGACTGAATTTATTCACACAATAATTTGGTCAATAATTGCAATGCCAAGTGCTAGAAACAAGAAAAAAACATTCTGCAGATACGGTCAGTCCTGCTATAATATGCGATATCACACTGCAAATCTATTCTAATGGGATTGATGTATTAGTACCCCAATCCAATACAAAGCAGAATCACATTTATATTTGTGTGATTTTCCATTGGAGAGAAAAGCACTGTGCAAACTATAACGCGATATGGTCTTAGCGAGACACACTACTTGCATGTAAAATCAGCTATCCAAGTGAATGATAATGATGTCTGATTTGTGAGTGAATCGTTCTTTTGAATTGGTTCTTTTCAGTGAATTTTTTTAATCGGTTTTCAGATCTAAAACAATCAAACTTCTTGTACACTAATGCATTACGTAGGTCAAAATCTTAAATTGTACCAGTATAAAATTATTTGACAAATTATCATGTAAAAACACAGCAATGTTTCAATTCACTTACATTTGCTTTTTGTAGACTGTCTAGTTATGTTGCCATCAGTGCCCCTCTGCATACCGTAATCCGATGTATTTATGCTGTGTGCATGCCCGGCCACATGGTGGCTGTTGGTTCACTACTCCCGAATAATGATGGCCAAAACAATGCTTCATGAACCATTTGCTGTATTTTCTAACTCCACTAGGTGGTACTGTTGGTTTACTTTGGGGTATACGTTGAACCTTTTTTGAACAAATAGCACCATCTAGTTAGGCCAAAACATACAACAAATTGTTCATGAAGCGTCGTTTTTGCAATCACAAGCCTTCACTACTATTGACTCTTGGCATTCAACAAATTAGCGAGTTTGGCACATTCAGTTGGTTATTAAGCAATTCTCATGAGACTCATAAGACCCATAGGAGATGTTTATGATATGACATCAATATTTCATTATTATTTCTTATTTAAAATGCATATAATTGCATTATTGGCCACTGGTGTCACTGTTTTTATTATTTAATTAACTTAGCTTGGCGTTAAAAAGTTATGTTTTTGAGTCACATTCCCCTAACCCTATTTTTTCCACTGGGTATGTGTTTACTACATGATTTTAGTAAAGGTGATGTTTTTCAGGAACGCATTGTTTGCATTGTAGCAAGATTGTATTTAGTTCTTTAGAAGACGTTGAACAAGTGGGTTCCCCTTAAAAGATCGAAATAGATGACATAAACATTATTGATCCCACAGGAAAAAATCATCACTGTTTACTACTACTAATTTAAGAACAGTGGGTTTCAAACCCACATCTTCAGAGTGATTAAAGCCAGCACATTAGACCAAGTTTATGTTCCTATTGTAAAGTGAGATTTTCACATGCCAGGAGTTTATACATTTTTCAGCACAGCCTGTTGAGTTGAAATGTTTTGTGTGGCAAGAAGAATGAAAGAATCTTTATAGAATTTTGTAGGCTCATAATTTAATTTAAGGGCTGTGGCGGTGGTATCGGTCTAGTCTGGAGGTCCTGTGTGATACTGCTACTCTGGATCATCCAGGTTCAACTTTGGCAACACGGGCTTCTGGTTTCCCTGGTCGGTGGTGCTCCTGGTCATCGCTGTGGTGCTTTTTGCTTATATCTCCTCGTTGCTGGTGAGTGCATGGAGTTCTGCATTGAAGACGTATCATCTTCTCAGCTTCTCAAAAGCAGTCTGTAAACTGGGAAGATTTTGTTTTTACTTTCTGTAATAAATCTATGTTAAAATAACACAGTTTAGGTAGGACACCTAAGTTCACTTGGGGCTACGCACAAGGCGTTGTTTCTGTGGTGTGATTGATATTGATTCTGTCCACATAGTGATGAGTGGGCCAGAGTCTCTTTATGATGAATTGTTGTTGGTCTTGCTCACAGATGCTTGCTGTGTGTCTGCTCTCGGAGGGTCAGAGGTTGTATCTACATTGGGCTCACAAGGTAGGGCAAGCTCAGTGTCTCTCCATTTCCTGTCCTGCCCTCCCATCTCTGTCATCCCTCACTAACCTGCATCTCCCCTAGTTCATGGGACAAGTGTGTTAATCTGAAGTGTGTTTTTACTTTGGTGTAATGTTTTTGTTTTTGAAAAGATTGGTGTCCTGGTTACACTGACGTTTGCCATTGTGGCCACAGCGGTACTGTCCGACTTGTGGAGCGGGGAGTGGAGTACTCTCCTGCTCTCTTTCCAGGTAGGTCGGCTGCGTGGTTTGGTGACGTCTCTGCACCTGAAGAATTTTATGTCATCTTTGAATAAAAGCAGCAACAACAACAAAAAATTAACAATCAAACGAACCTAAAAGATATTGCCAGTTTTGCTTGTTTTGCCATGATGAGTGGCTCTATAGCTGGATTATGGACCAGGCCAGTGGGGCCAGAGCCCTAGGGCCTTGGGCTGGAGGGGGCCACAGAGCACTAGTAGCTGTAAGTCACAACATTCATAGTGCGAGATAAACACTACGACGCTCATAAACAATGTGAAATTAGGATCCCTAACATTATCTGTGAACTACACTGAACACTTGCTCACATTCTGTGACGTTCCGATGCTCTTCTCTTCTGATTGGTTAGGTCACGGCACCCTACCTCCATGTGGGCGGAGTCTTAATGATGACAGCTTTGTCCTGGCCAATAGCGTTGCATTTCTTCCGCATGACAGGCAGAGGTAAGAATACTGCCGGAGATAAATCTGCTCAACAGAAACACGCAACATAAAGAGTTGACTGTAGACTGTGTTAAACTTGAATTGATTGAATGCATTTTGCATGTCAGCTCCTACTTTTGAATAACAAAGCTGGTAGTGAATCTTTTTCATGTCCTTGGTGTTGCATTGAACGAGAAGGCAGTGTTACAATTTCTGAGTACAATCATCAAGGCCCTGTTCTGCACTCATAACCCCTACAATACAGTGAGAAGGGCTGCTGTCCTGGGCTTGTTCCTGACTCTGCTCCTTGCTCTCTACCTGGTGCCGCTGGGGATGTACTCACCCTGCATCAAGGAAAAGGGCACCCTGGGCCCCGCTCCTACCCTCATTGGACACAGAGGGGCCCCCATGGTAAGTCACACTAGCTTGAAAAATGATCAGTTCACTGGTGTTGTTCCATAGAAGGTGGAATTTTCCTTGGGTGTATCTCAGTCAGTTACAGTGAGCTGGAGAATGCCACCCATTGGTTCACCCTGTCAGTGAAAACAAGTCACTACTCATGTTACAAAAAGGGAACTACATACACATCTAAACTGAACGTCCAAAACAAAGCAGCAGGTGTCAACAAAATGACCTTTCAGTAGGGTGACTTGATAATCCATGTCGTGGAGGACACTTTCAGCTACCTAAGGTTTTACAAAGTATTTTAAAACTAAAAGGCTACTGTACTTAAATAGTTCAATTCTTCTTGTGTATTGACTAGTTTGTTTCCTTGACTGAAAGACTCATCCTAACATTAGTGACACATGCATGATTATAGGAGACTGACCAATCAGCATGCAGCAAGAACTCAGTGTTTAAGTGAAGTCCAGGTCCTAGTAATTGAAATGGTAGTTTGCAGATCCTGTCCCATCATCTTCACTAAGGAGGCAGCGTGGGTGGGTCCAGGTGGTCCTAGGCATACCCAGGTGGAACTCAGACTCATCCATTCAGTGCTGACAGTGTAATAAAACGATTGTGTCTGACAGGTTTGTGTGTGTGCGGTTAGATCAATCGGAGGAATTGTGCTGTTGAGAGACAACATTTGGTCTTAGCAATGCCACAGGTCATTTAATTAAAAAAATATGTAGTGCGACTTTGTTGCCAAGTGAATTGTTATGGGACTGGCCCACCTGATTTTCTGCCGGCCCACCCATGCTATGATTTCTGGCACAGATATTGCACTGTGTAATCTGTCTGGTAAGCAGCACTTGGCATCTTGACAAAGACTTGACAAAGACAAAGACTTCCCGAAAGCCCATTAATGGAGGAAAGGTCTGCTTCATTCTTAGCAGATGGGGATTGGCTGTCTGAAATGCTTGCTTTTGACTGGGATAGATAAGCCCATTTGAAAAGCCCACAATGTGTTGGCCCAGTGGTCAAAGAACTATCTCCACTGGAACCAGTAATTAAGAGCAAGTTGCTAGCACAAAAGGTTAGTGGCTTACATCATCCCAGAAGAAGCGTTGAAAATGAACGTGGAACATGTTTTTTATGTGGATGAATATGACCAGCAAGCCAGATGTTTTTTTTTGTAAGTGGGATTACACTGTAGGTACTTATCTTCCACCCACTCTGTTTTTGAGCCTGTCTGGAAACAGATATTCAGCTTGATGTTCAAAGCTTAGAAGTCTGGTTTCAGATGTCATGAATTGCAATTAAGATGTTTGATGAATGTTATCCTGTGGTCTGTGGTCAAATAAGATCACTTCTTGTGTGATCTTAATACGTCTTCCCATTTCAGATTTAGATTCATATTCATCTTCAGTTTCCTTTCAGATTATGTTAGTTATAATGGACTCATGTTCTTGTGTCGACCGGATACACAGCTCGCACCGGAAAATACCCAGATGTCCTTCGAGAAAGCAGTGGAACTTGGGGTCCTGGGCTTGGAGACCGACGTTACCATCAGGTTGGTAGCTGCCCCATGTGCTTGTAAAGGGATCCCCGTCCGACAGTTGTCTATTCACAGAAATCCCAAATCCTGGAAGTGCAAACATATGAATAGCATAGACAATCACGCATACTAAATTTCACCAGTAGAGTGCAAATACACCTGCGTTATTTTGTTGTCATGGCTACGGTGCACTTATAACCAAGGGATCTGTCGCAACAGCTACGAAGGGGTACCGTTCCTGATGCACGACAGGACCCTGCGAAGGACGACCAACGTGTGGGAGGTGTTCCCCAACAGGACCGAGGAACCAGCAGCCATGTTTTCCTGGAGCGAACTGGAGCAGCTCAACGCTGGGGCCTGGTTCCTCTCGGTGAGCTTGGGGCTCGCCTGCCCTCAGACAAGTTGGCATCGAAATGATTTCCCCACAGCTATTAATGAGGTGAATCTGAAAGCGAGAGAGAAGCATGAACAGAAAGTACTGGTGTGGTTTCATGAGCGAAACATAACACCTTCGCAGGTTCCCGGCTCCAAGTGCTCCTTGGCCGGTCAACCTGCCAGGCCTCCAGGACAGTGCAGAATCAATCCAGTCAACATCTGGGCCGCTTTTAGTCACCTTGACTCATCACTGTGTAGCAACGGGCGTGGGGGGGTATTGTGAAAGTAGTAAGCTGGAGCAGGAGGGAAGTAGTGCTCACAGAAAGTCTTGGACACTTGCTTAATTCAGTAAAAATGTTGCAAATTTATTGGTTTCATAACAAAATCATTACTTACCATTAGAAACAACCAGTAGTTTTAAGTAAGACATTTATTTCAAGTAGTAATACACTGAAACCCAAATTATACTACTAAAGGAGAGTTAAAAAGTTCATTGACAAGTAGTCTCATTGGGTGCTTTTTAATTAGTAACACCTTTCCAATAACATGAAACACCAAGTATTTATGTTTAGTATCCCATTGGGAGCCAGTGACCACGATTGTAATTAATAGCAAAATGGCAAGAACATAACTGAATGAGTCAGTTAACAGAAGTAGGACACTTAATAAAAACAAAATGTGTGTGCAGAGGATATGTGCAGATATGTTACACATTGCTGGTCAAAGGACTTTTTTTATGAAACCAATAAACCTGCAACATTTTCACAGAATTAAGCAAACATTACAAGACTTTTTGCGAGCACTGTATGTTGAAGTTGAATATTTATTATCTCAGTAAATTGCGTTAAGTATATAACAATATAAATGTCTGTATTTCCCCATAGAATCTGAGCAGGAGTCCAATCTGAACTGGGGAAGAGTAAAACTGTAAGCAAAGTGTCTGTGAAGTGTATCAATAATAGATTAATTGCAACAAGCGGCGTCGCCCCGCATGCCTGTCACCCCCTCCTCCTCAGCGGGACCCCTTTGGCACAGCCTCTTCACTCAACACCGCTGACCGGACCCGAGCCAAGAACCAGTCTGTGTGCACCCTGCGGGCCTTCTTGGACCTGGCAGCTCAGCACGGCCGGCTGGTAATCTTCGACCTTTACCGTCCGCCCAGGGGCCACCCATACCGGGATACCTGGATCAGCCGTACCTTGGAGGTCATCCATAACGAATCCTCGATCCGCTCCAACCAGGCACGTTCCTCTGTGCTTCCCTACATACTTCTCACTGCACAAAGAGCAATGCCTCGGTTGGTCATGTCTTCAATACACTTAACCCTTGGATTGACCTGCAGCCAGGCTTGTCACCTCTTTAGTCAGGTTTGTGGCATTGTGTGTTAAAAACCTTGATGAAAGTGCTTACATCAGATTGTAGAGGGGGGTCCAAGCAACTAGAGGAGGTAGGACCAAGACATCTAATTGATTGGTTCCACCTCCTCTACAATCTGACTGGTTCTCTCTGAACCGACCATTTTTCATTCTGATCTCAGAAGATTTATGTGTAAGTAAAACTGGCATGAGCCCACATGTGCTGCTGTAGGTGTTGTGGCTGGCCCCGGAGCTGAGGGAGCAGGTGCAGGAGCTGGATCCTGAGCTCCAGCAGATATCAGGAAGCAGGGCTTCGGTGGAGGAGCTGCAGAAGAAGGAGATCACCAGGCTCAACCTGCACTACAGCTCCATGTCCCAGGAGCAGATTAGGTACTGTGCCTCACGTGTGAGTCAATCCAACACAGGAAAACCCCTGAAAATGGACCATCACCTCCAGCCAATCCGTGTGTGTGTCTTCTGGGTCCCCGTAGCAATTATGCCGCAGCTAACATCAGCACCAACCTGTATGTGGTGAGTCAGCCCTGGCTCTACTCGCTCGCCTGGTGTGCAGGCGCTCATTCCGTCACTACCAACGCACCCCAGGTGCTCCGTGACCTCCTGCATCCGCTCTTCCTCATGGTGAGAAACATCTCAGCTGGCCATGAACCACCTCAGGGCTTGGGGGGTGGTGGAGGTATGAAAAATCAGTAAGCTGTTTTACACATTGTTTCTCAAGGTTTACAAGAAGGCGGTATGGTTCTTAGAAGAAATTAACTCCTAAAAAAAGTCATGATGTACTCAAAGTACTGCATTTGTGCTGACTGTGGTAAATTGATTACTTCATAATTATCTTTCTCTCTCTTTCTTTCTCTCTCTTTCAGACCCATGAAAAGTATCGCTTGATGTGGCTCCTTACAGACGTTGTGTCCACAGTGCTCATATTTGTGTTCTTCTCTTTTCACTGGTGAGTGACACTGGGGGAAGGAGCCAACCCTCGCCACACCCCCTCATTTGTATGCACAGGATTTGGGTTCGTGTTCAACATGGATTTACTGTGGGGTCTCCTTTCAGGTGGAGGGAGCGGGGTCTGGCTTTTTGCACAGGTAGCAGGCAGACACAAGAAAATGGGCTCTACAGCAAGTTTCGGACAGGTATCAGCATAATTAAACGTCAAAAGAAATGCAGGTGTCACCTTTAACTGTAGTTTGGGATTCGATCCCAAAACTTTCTAGTCTAACCATGGAATGTAGGGATATATAGAGGATATACATCTAAGAAAAATGCCCCATGTACAGTCTTTCTCAGTATGATAGTTTGTCTTCTCGCATGCTCTTTGATGACCTTTCACCTCGATTCACTTTTCCTTGACAGAGATGAGCGACGTGTGGTCTGTTTCCAGCGTTCATGCACATGCAGAGGGGCGAAGCCCGCCAGTCACCCCCAACCTGTCTGTGATCTCAGAAGTGCAGGAGCCCTCTCTCTGAGCAGGGTCAAAGCCTACAGAAACATCTCCGTCAGAGATCTCACCATACACCACCTTCTGGAACTCAGTCGAAGATGAACCTAGCTTTCATTGAGCTGCTGAGTTGAATCTTATATTAGCAAGGTGCGCAGTCTATTGCTGTACTGGGAGGGTCATGAACAAATACCAATGCTGCTTTATCAATTAAGTTGGTCCAGTAACATCAAGCATGACTCTAGCACTTTTCCTCCCCGTATGAGTATACATTTGACCCTCTGTCAATGTGTGGAGGCCCCTAATGGTTCTTCTGAACATGTTTATTATAGAAACCATAAGTGTAGTTCTCAGCCCCAACAGATGTTCTGCCAAGAGTAATTAATTTAGGATAGTTTGCCATCTCCCAAATCCTAATTTTGGCCAATATATTAAATTACTGAACAGTGCCAGGGCTGATTCTTAGGAATTATAACATGCCTGCAACTTTTCATTTGCATTGTTGATGGAAGAGGACATGGGAAGAGGGGAGACCTTAAGCCAATATCCCCCTAGTTAGTACTCTTGGAAGTATTTCTTGATGGGACTTGTAGTCAAGATATAGACTTTGCGGAGTATACTCAGACGAGTTCTGGACTTCAACTCCCATCAGTATTGCTGTATAAAACCTCTGCAGAGGTGAGTCCCTGCATCCTGTGTAATGCACAACTTTTCTAATGTACTAAAATTGATACTTTAAGGCGTCATTTGTTTTATACATGTGTCTGTTTCTCCAAAGTCAGGCCACACACAGTCCAGCGAAAGAGAGACATCATCACTCTGATCCGCCTGTCGTGACATTAATTGACTCAATGTGCAGACATTTTTGAGCATTAAAAAGGAAATGAAAACAACAGGTTGATTATATCTTAATGTGCGTATCTAAAATAATAAAGCTGAGTAAGGAAACACAAACAAAGATTAAAAATGTTTTTATTGGTTGGATGCACAATCAATTAGCCAATGTGACACCACCCTGTAAACGAGGTCCAGTTAGGTTTTAACAGTATCAAAGTCAATCAAAAGCTGAGTCTGTCATCTGCTTTTTATTGAACATTCTGGCATTATATAACAAAGTTTGTTGTTTTTTTTTAGCTATTTTATAGTTTTGCAATATATAACTCCAGTTTCAATTTTAATTGGGGGAGTCATTTTATATCAGGCTTCTGTGACCCAGTATAGCCCCCCAACCTTGGTCATAGTGGGTTGAAGTCCTGATTTTTTATTCTCTCTTAAATAAAGCAAATAGGGCTAAGATTAATAATATGAATGGCAAGGTTCAGGTGTCAGTCAATATAATAGAGCAATAGAAATGTTTTTTATAACCCTCTGGGACAATGGCTGGCCTTTCATGGTTTCCACGGACACCAAAATGTCCAGAACCTTTCATAATCATCTTGCGACAGATACCTTGATCTTGGGTTTGGGGGGGGATCAAGTTTGCAGGCCCTTTGTGACATAACCACAAGATTTTCCAGTTTCTTATAGACACTATTACATCCTGATTGCCATAGAAAACACATTGGATCACTTTGCTTAACAAACAACTCGTAAACACACAGCCCCCCTATCCATTCATCTCAAACTACACCCCTATCTACTATTACACCAAACCAATCAATAATCCAAAAAATCAGTCTTAACGTAGGACCTCCCAAAATTCATTTAGAAAAGTACAATAGATGATGATCCAGAAGTACTACAATGCTCATACAGTTACTAATAAAAACCACTGAGGAGATTCTTCTAAAGTAAGGGGTCTCATTCCAGCTCCTAGAGATCTCTCCCCCGAAGAGTTTAGGTGCAGCTCTAATTTAGCACACCTGATACAAATAATCAGGACCTTCAATAGCATCTCAATACTAGATCCAGCCTTGTTAATAACATAGCTACTTAAACCAATATTAAGATATTAAAGCAAATATATTTTCCTATTTATCTTTTGAATATAAAACATTTACCAAGACCCCGCTGACACCTCTGTATGTACACTGTGTTTTGACATCATTACAGTGGTCATCACACAAAAGTGTTTCCCATCCTGATTCTCAGGGACCCCTAGACGGCCCATGTTTTTGCTCCCTCCCAGCTCCCTCTCTCATCACAGTGGTCATCAACCCAGTGCTCAGGGACCATCAGACAGTCTATGTTCTTGCCAGGAGCTGGGAGGGAGCAAACACATGGACCGTCTGGGGGTCCCCGAGGACCAGGTTGGGAAAGACTGACATAAAACATAGACTTCACTTACTGTGCATAATATTTTCAAAAAAATTCTGAAATGTGACAATGCCACTGTGCAGAGACTGTGGGCACAGGGTTGTTTGCCACTCTAAATCCTAACTGAACACTCTCTCTAGAAGCTTTTGTCCTAATGTGTGCGTGTGTGTGTGTTACTGTAAATATTTATTTAGGAAAATTTTATTTACTTAGCAGATGCTTTTGTTGGAACGTGATGTAGAAACGTTGATGGCTTGGGGAAAGGGTCAGCCAGCATCCACCTCCCAGGCCAATTAAGGACCTAGTGGTGATATCATTTGACAGCTGGCCATTATCACAAGCACCTAATGTACTGAGCTACACACCACCCCAGGGAAGGATATGTGTAAGAGTGAGACAGTATCTTTCTATGTCTGTCTGAATGTGTTTGTAGGTGTGGGATGAATGAGTAGGCCTATATGGTTGCTTGTGAGAATGTTTGAGAAGATATCCGTGCATGTCTTTGTGTATCCATGGGGATTTTCGTGCCAGGGCTCAGCCTTGGTCTTTGAGGTTTGGTTCTGAGAAAATTTTTTTGCTTATTACATTACCGACAGCTGAAAACACAGATTAGGTGACTCACTCAATAGTTGAGGTTGTCGATGGCCGGGACGCATTGATCTAGAATGTGAGATGAGACATTTGGTTTTGACAGCTCTCTTACTAATAGGAGCAACCTGGGGGGGGGGGGGTGAATCTCCCAAACCTGGTCTCAGGGGGCAAAGTTCACCATTGTGGCCTTGGCTGTCGGATATTTGCAGTGGTTGCCTTCTTCAGAGGTTGAATGTCTGCTCAGCTGCTGTTGCCACGGGAACTGCGCTGCTTAGTCATGGTGGTTAGCATCTGGCTGACGTAGGAGGTCAAGAGGTCGTCCATTTTGTAGCCCTGCAAACAGTCAGCCAAGCACAACTTCTCGTGTTAATGTGTACACCAGACTGCAGCAAGCTTTTGACGACAGCCCCAGTTTTACATCGTGCTGGCAGGTCGCAGGGTGAAAGAAAAGCACAAGAAGTTTCTAACTTGATGTCATAGCAAAATCGATCCTAAAGAGGGATTAAGGGGCCGTCATACTTGCATTGCATCAAGCAATGTCCTACGATGAGGAATCCCCACTGGGTGGTATTAGCCATCTGTAGCCAGAAAGCTCAGAGAATGCAAAACTGGTCTTTGTTCCATAAATTGGGTTCCCGTTCCTCTCATCACTCTATACCCAGATAAACAGGAAATAAAAGCTTCCGCTTTCACTGTATATGTATGTATGGGAGCGATGGCAACACATGTTGAACATGCAGTGCTGGATCCAGGTGTAGGCAAACTGGGCAGCTGCCTAGGGACCGACTGGCAGTAGGGGGCCCAGATCGACAGAAGAATGCCCTGGCAAAATGTACTGAGGGGAAACCCCCCCCCCCCCCCCTTTAACAAAATTTTCTGAGGGAACTTCCACAACCCCAATCAGTGAAATCTGAGTACTGTGTCACTCACCAATGACGTCTCACAGAGCAGTTTACTGCCCCGTAACAGGTTTCCGATGTTGATGTGGAAGTAGGTGTTCCCGCTGCTCCAGTTGGAGATCTTGGTGAAAGGGTGCGTGATCAGGATGTCCTGGTGGGAGGGGGGCGTGGCACATTTATGCACAAGGATAGTCACACACAAAATATACTTACACTGATGTCAATGCACACAAAATTTAATTATTTGCCAGTCAATTCTGTCCCAAAGCCTAGCGACAGACAGCAGGGTCAGCCAGTGTCCGCAGAGCAGATGTGGTTAACGCCCTTGCTCAAGGGTCCAACGGTGATATGATTTTTCCCCCGGGATCAATAAATTATCTCTTGTCTTATCTCGAAGACACAACCAGGGGCGCCTTAAGGGGTTAGGCGGGGTGAGGGGGTGGGGGTGGGTGTGGAGTTAGGAGAATTTCTAAAAAATTTGAAAAATAACTGAATTGGTCTGGACTGGGGGGCCCAATCTTCAGCAACGCCCCTGCTCACAACCGTTCACGCACAGGAAAAGTTTACATCATCCTCACACTCATTCAACTGATGTAGAAGCTACACTCCCATATAAAAATGTAACACACCCCCCGCCGCCGTCTCACCCACACGAACCTTGCTCTTTGGGTCGATGAGGCTGATGCCGTGCTTGTTGATCGCTATCAGCAGAATCTCTGGGAACCCTGGCTCGGTGGTTTGCTGTAGATACGGGAGAGGCATGTTACAGGGATTTGACTGTACATTACCAAAATCTTCCCTTTATGATGTCATCAGCCAAATGTACTGTGTCCACCAAAATCAAACACGGCATGTACATTCTCTGGTGCAAGTTGCTGCTATTATGTTTCTATTGCTGTTCTCAAGAACTTAACATGAAGCTTTTCAATCAGGTTACATTGAGTCCATGCATGTATCTTAAAAATAATGAATGAATATTGTTACATTTACAGAGTAAATTTAGTAGACATTTTATTACTATACCATGCAAGCGATTGCTCTGACTACATTAATTAGTCAATGTATCAATGTAAATTCATTTTATTTTCCAATTAAAAGTGTTATCTATCTTACTAATTTAACCACAGCGCTGATTGTTTCACAAGAGTCTCTTTGAAACCAGGATTCTTGTACATTTTGTCTAAATAGAGAATAGACACAAGCTTATTGCTCATAACGCTTCGATGACGCGTTTTCGGAACCTGCCTGGATGCTGTGCTTCACTGGGAGTCTATGAGAGCTTCATGCAGAGTTTTTGCTTAGACGACATTTATTGGACTGATAGACTTGCAGTCAGACATTTTAAACCCACCTATTTTTTGGGGGTTTGCTAGTTTGTTTAATTTGCAGTGAACATTTGGGGATTTTTAGTAGTACGTTTGCTAACTAAGTTGTGCAGGTGTGTGTTCAAAATGGTCAGACTGGCGAGCATAATTTACATACAAGTAGCTGGCCGACTAAAATGACAAAAGACAGTTTTTGGTTATTCTTCCAGCTCTTGACACTGTGCTTTGCTCATTTGGGAAAAAAAAAACACCATCTGCCACTGCTATACCGCGGCCTCCACCAGGAGAAGAAGTAGCAGAACAAGAAGAGTTTAGTTGCTATCAGGACTGTGTGTAGAACATTACCTTGACCTCAAAGAATGCAGATCCAAACGTTGGCCACTTATAGATGATCTTTAAAAATGTGAGCTTCGCCTCCTCTTTGGACTTGCCGGCCTGCTTATTGATGTAGGCCACCAGAGCCTATGAAGAAAAACAAGGGTCAAACTGAACACCCGGATGAACATGGACTGCACAGAAACATCAAGAACTCCAACTGCTGGTGAAACGATACATCCTAGTTCAAAGAAAAGGAAGAGATCCTAGTGTATTTGGTGACTTTGACTTAATCCAGCCCAACAGAGATACACATGGAGTGCGGCTTTGGGTGCACGTCCCTCATACTACCATCTACTCACCCGTCTCCAGTCTTCGAGTGTGAGCTGCCCTATGACATCCTGGGGTACCAGTTCCTTCAGCATCTTGGGGATGTTGGAGAAGAAGATCTTGTCCTCCTCAAACTTGACACGGTAGATCAGCGCCCCCAGCTGGAGGACCTCCTCAAGTGTACAGCTGTGGTAGCCACGGAGATATTTGGGTAGCTCCTGAAGAAAGATTAAAGAGAGCTAGAATGGTCGTAAGCACTCACATACACACACATAAGCTATATAACCACATACACATATGTAAAAATATGGTGTATATAAATACATATATATCCTAAACAACACATAACAAACCCATTTGAAAAACACATATACATAAGATACACATAGTTATATACATACAGGACAATATTGTTGCTGACTACCTGGTAAAAATGGAAGACAGAATCAGCCACAGAGTCTTTCCCTGGAACAGTATTGGTCCAGAGTTTCTTCATGAAGAACACCTGGTAGGTCAAAGAAGGTGGTGCACCTGTGGGTAAAGTGTGGGTGAACGTGTGGGAGAACAGCCACCACTTGGTTTTTGTCAAAACCCTGAAGAGGAAGATTAGAAATAGCCCTGAGCTGGCCCAAAAAGTCTGAAATTAAGCAGATTAATAATCACTAACCTGTAGAGCGATGGATTGCGTGATTCCAGAACATTCCAACGACACTAACACTATTAAAGCACATTCATGAAGTCTGTAGACCTAAGAGCTCCAACTTTAGAGAAGTCGTGAGAAACATGCAGCAAATTGGTTTATAGGCATGAAAGAAAGGACTGAGCTTACCATCCTTGGCGGGCCGGGCTGTGCGGATCCAGTCTGTTAGTTGCCTGACAAAGTCAAAGAAGAAGTCCCCTTCTGGCATGCTAATCACCTGTACAACAGAGGGGGGGGGGGCGGCTGAGGCATGGGAATTGCATTTGAATCATCATCATGGAGGCCGCAAGTGTTCTGCTGTCGCTCTGGTCACAACCACTTAACTGGGGTAATTTAATCTTTAATGACAGTAGGAACTTTGTCCTGAGATTACTTTGATGCCTGCAGTGAAATGTAGCCAAAGACTTTTCAATCTGAGTCCCAGGAGGCGCCCTCTAATAAAGCCTGTGTGAAGACCTTAGATTGTCATAGTGTGTAATACAATACTGCAGAAACTTCAGTTGTACACTGCACTGTGGTTTATAATCTTTTTGAAATGTTCCTGTCTGATGAATGTTGACCGTACTCACCCTGTCTGAGATTTTCACAAACAAACTGAAGCCCTCAACTGACTTGAGTTGTAGGCGACTGGAGATGCTCAGGCAGAAGTCTTTGGCTTTTGTGCTTGACTCCACTTCAAACACCTAAAAATAGCAAAAAAGCATAAATATGAGTCTGGGAGTCATTAGGGAGTCCTTACGACCCCCCCCCCCCCCCCGATGTTCTTTGGATGCTCTGACCTTGCTGCATTGTAGTTAGCCTGCCACAATGTTGTATAAAAGCTGTGTGAATGTTGTGTACTGTAAAGAGACTTTTCTTAATCTCTCAATGCCTCACAAATCAAATACACCAAAAACTTACCTGAGGTGCCACATGGGGTTCGACTGCCTCTGCATTAATAAAGCTGGTTTCAGAGACACATGGTTGGACGGAATGCAGAATGCACATTTACCTTTCTTGAAATTACTTGGTCAGGAGGGGTAATTTTAATTCCCCAGTTATCTTCCAGAAGCATGAACCTACATGCTGTAGAGGTGCTCCCCAGCTGGGTCATGGGTGTATAATGAACGGAAAACACCCACCTCTGTAGAGGTGGATATTTCAGGTGCAGAGAGTAAAAATCCAGACCAAGATTTCGTTTCAACCAACCATTTGAGTACTCTGACTGTGATTCTTTATACTCAGCTGGTTGGTAAAAACAAAATCTTGGTCTGGATTATGACTTCCAGAGCCTCAGCTATCAACCTCTGATCCTACTCCATAGCGTAACAAATACCTAAAAGCGGAAATCCACCTTGGACCTCAAAAGTAAAGATTGGCAAGCATAAAGACCTGAAAAAAGCAATGATATTGACGGTGCCTATCCTGGTCCGAACCTGGTCTGTGTCATTGGGGAAGTGGACCTTATGGAAGATCTGGGTGGTCTTGTGCTGGATGGCTTCCACCTCCACCAGGTGAGGGGGGTATTTTCTGGCACCATTCCTGAAATAAAAAAATGAAAAGAAAAAAAAACAAAGGTCCACAAAGACTAAGCATCTGGCAAGAATATGACATCATGGTGCAGTCTCAGCCACGACTCACCTGAGATGTCATGAAGAAAAACAGGATGATAATAGGACTTGGGAAGCCTTACAGCAAACTAACACTAATCCTAATCGATAGAAAGATTGTGTACATATTACATAAAAGGTAGAACCCTAGGGCGTTTGAGCTGCAGACCTAAGTGCCTTTAGAAGCCGCTGCATGCAGTCTGCTGCCAGTGGATGGTGCTTCCTGGCTTGCAGGAACTTCTGGACATGGGATAACAGCAGGTTACTGGGGGGAAAGAGGCCTGTGCAGAGCCACAGCAGCTCCCAGCCCTTCTCCTCGCTGTACCTGCAGAGGTTTAGGGGGGCAGAGTCAAAGCCAGCCCTCAGGTGGGTCTTCTGAGCAATGCTCGGGCAACTGCACCCCCAGCAATATACAATGAACAAGTCGAGCATCTCGGACTTACTTTACATGATTTTCAGTGAGTTGCTTAAGGATCTGGCAGAAGATCTCATCCTTCAAGGGCTCTGACTTTAAGGCACACTCAAATATCTGGCTGGTGAGCTCATTCACGGATCGCGTGCTCTTGGATGGGTAATCGCCCATGTACTTCATTATGAGTTCAATGGTGGTGGTCAAGGATAACAGTACAAAGTGCCTGGAAGTACACACCACTGTGTCTTTGAGGGAGAACCCCCCCAATCAGCGAAATCTGCAGAGGGGGGCATGTCAGAGGTGTGCTTCTCTGAAGCCATACAAAGTTGTCATTAACTGAGTAGGAAGATGTTTGGAATTATGAGGATGAAACGGATATTTGAGCATGAAGCATAATGGGAATATGAATATAATGGGAGTATGAATATAATGGAAGTAGGAAAATAATGGGAGCATGAATATAATGGGAACATGAATTGAGTGTGAGAATTGGTGGAAGTATGACAAAGGTGCCTGACAAGGTGAAGGATATCAGTGAAAGCAGCGCAGGCCTCCTGGGACAGACCCTCATGGCTCAGGATCTTCTTCAGCAAAGGCTGCTTGATGGGCTGTCGTGCACAGCTCCATAGCTTCTCCTGGCCCCAGCTGTTGGAGTCCATCACTTGTGCCAGGGTGCCCTTCAGTGGGGGCCTGCAGGGATGGACATGGGGCAGAGTCAGAATCTGTGTGCAGTGGGGGAGTCACTAGGGTGTTTTGGTCCAAATAAATGTCATTAAAATCAGACCCTCCAGGAAAGGCTCAGTCTCCCTTTTCTTGAATCTCTATGTGACACTTAGCTAGAGGTTAGCATGTTTTAATTAAAGGAAGAAAAATTGTTTCTGAGGAGGTAAATGGAGTGTAAAAGCAGAATTTAGCAGAGGCAGAAAGCTCAGGTACAGAAAGTACAAATCCAGGCCAAGATTTTGTTTTGACCAACCAGTTGAGTATAAAGAGTCACACTAACAGAGTACTCAACTTTTTGGTTGAAACAAAATTTTGGTCTGGATTTGTACTTTCTGGACCTGAAATTTTCCACCTCCGAGACTTAGACAGTAAAAGATTGGTATAAAGAGTGAGAGACAGACAAATAGAATGATGTACCTGAAATAGTTGTAGGAGAACTCCTCCAGTGTATAGGGGGCACTCTTTTCCACACTGTCCTCTGGCGGGAGAACCAACAGGCCCAAAGATTCCCTCCGCTGGTCCGGAGCTGCAGTTATTACTGCCTGTGATGCAGAAATGGAGGGTGATGTCACTGACCTCTGATAATACACTGCTACAAAGCCCAGGGGACTGTTACCTCTATCTGTATTAAAAATAAACTTGAAAACCAGATTTATTTCCGATGAATGTAAAGACATTAAAAGACAGAGGCACAAACTTGAGAGTCAACAATTAATACAAAATAATTGAGAAATTGACTGAAAGCAAACAGACAGAGATTGATAAACACATGGACAGAAAAGATGTATATACACAACAAGCAGATACACAAACAGGAAAAAGCAGACTTGCACGTTTGGCAGAGGTCACTGACCGCAATGTCACACTGAGGCCTGGTGATAGCAGGAAGCACATAGACACAGTCCACTGGGAAGTCACCGCTCTCCTTGGTCCTAACGTTGATGCCATGAGCCCAGCCCGAGTTCATCACCTGCTCCCCTGTGTCCTGGTCCAGTTGGATGAGGTCACCTCTGGCGAAGTCGAGGAATGTTGAGTCCTCTGTGGCTGTCACATAAAACCCAACCCCCCCAAGCTGCTGATTTAGAATTTCAGGTCAACATGTAGTCATGTGTGTCGGGTGAATGTGGGGGGTTGGTGGCACAGAAATTGGCGGAAGCTGTCACCTGAGTTTGAATTGTCCTGCAGCGCCACAACGAACTTCGACCTTCTCCTTAGTCCCTCGAGAAAGATCACCACCAGATCGCGGATGTCCTCAGCGTTGTTGGATGTGAAGGTATACTCTTCCCCTTTGATGGTAGCCAATGTGAAGCTCTGTCCCAGAAGTTTGCCCCCCCTGCCGTGAAACCAGAAAAAGGTCGCTTTAGCTGGGAAGCAGGCATCACTTATTTTGGGAAAATGTAAAAGTGGTGGGAAAATATCACCGGTAACCACTGGTCCAGTACTCATACACAGGGTCAGTAGAATACAAAGGAGATCAAGTTTATGCTTGTCACTGAATCTCGTTTGCATTCTTTTTGTTTTTTATAAACAAAGACCTTTAGATTTTCTGTTTGTTTCAGAATTTTTGTTAAGCTGAGGGAGTGTCGGGCAGCTTTGTTCCATTTCTAAGCCGAAATATAATAGCCCAAATTCTAAATGGTTGCTGACGTCACGCAAAAGAAGTCGCCCATCCAGATATCAGGGACACCTGCTGCTGGAAACGACAGTGATTTCTGGGAAGGAGAGCTCCAGGAGGACCTCCTCTTGATCGTCCACAAAGTAAACACCGGTCCAGTTCACAGCAACGATGACATCATTCTTCGGCAGGCTGGGGCCTAGAGAGCAAGATGGAGCAAAGAGAGCATCATAAACACTCACCTGGATTTCATGGTGGAAGGAATGGTTTTAACCAGGTATCACCCTCTCACTCTGGCATGAAGGTCCCAGAGTTGCCAACATTGGTCAGCTGGCTGGTGTGAGATTTTCAATTCCAAACAAATTTGCACACACATTTACATGTATGGAACAGTTTCATTATCTTTTGAATAGTCTGTAGGGTTTGCAAAATACCCCAACGCTTGTGATGTAGCTAATTTTAGGTTTTTAATGACATAATACAGATCTTCTGTAAGATTTCTTGCGTGAGTGTGAGTCTGAAAGTGTGAGTGTCACGCCAGATGCGTCTGAGTTGGCAACCCTTAGGTCCCACAAGGCACCTGCTCCTCGTGCAGAACAGTCACCCACCTGAGAACTTAAAGGCCTCAAAGAACCGTGAGAATAGCAAAGGCCATTTGAAACGTGCAAAGTCCACCACTTCTTCCTTGACCCTCTGTGCCTCTGTCAGGCTTCGAGTGCAGATTCCCTGTGGAATGCAGTATAGAGCTCATACCAATACAAATGTAAATACACAACAGTAACCACAGTAAGGAGAAAACAGTGGAATGGTCATTGAAGCGTGTTATGGCACATGCTGAGTTTAAGGGCCAGTAAATGTACCCAGGAGCAGGAAAAATAATTAAATGACCAAGTTGTCATTGTCCAAGCCATCCAAGGTCAAAGGGCTGTGATTATATGAGTTTAATATGATGGTATATGGGCAGAAAACCTTATTTGTGGGACAAGGAAACAGACGCCCAGAGGTGCTGAATCCCCAGCTGCACGGAGTCATTAATTAGCGGGAGTCATTCGGAAATTAGCGGGAGAACATTTCAAACTGGATTTAAGGAAGCACTTCTTTACACAGCGTGTAGTCAGAGTATGGAATAGTCTTCCTGATAACGTAATGCAAGCTGAATCCTTGGGTTCCTTTAAATCAGAGCTAGATAAGATTTTAACAACTCTGAGCTATTAGTTAAGTTCTCCCCAAGCGAGCTCGATGGGCCGAATGGCCTCCTCTCGTTTGTATAGTTCTTATGTTCTTACCTGGTAGCCCCAATATTATTTGAACAAAATGTAACTACGACTTTAGCAGCCGGTCTTGCCCAGAAAGCCCTAGAGCAGTGTTTCCCAATCCGGTCCTCGGGTCCCAGAGTCAGTCCATGTTTTTACTCCCTCCAAGTTCCCAGCCAGACAATCTGTGGACTGTCTGTGGGTCCCCAAGGACCGCACTGGGAAACAGTGCCCTAGAGTAAACCAGAATTGTGTTTTGGGGTGAGCAGCTGCTGACTAGTTACCCAATGACTAGTTTGCTGTGCATTTGCAGGGAGTTCCTTGGTTGACTGCTGAACAGCCCAGCAACTGACTGGATGGCACATACCTTCTTGAATGCTGTGGTGACCATTTGTGCCCACTTCTCCATGGTCCTAGAGGAGTTAATCTCACGGTCAGGGATATACGATGAGACTAGGCTGAGGAGACGTTCAGGTATCAGGTTGCGCCCATATTCTGCAAAGTATTGCTGGGCAGCCAGCCGGGCCAGGTCCTCCTCCTGGGGGTTTAAGTGGAGGGACAAGGTCAAGGGGTCACAAAATGCAAAAATCCATCCATCCATTTTCTGTAATCGCTTATCCTATTCAGGGTCACGGGGAGTCCAGGGGAGTCCTATCCTCCAGGCTATGGGTGCAAGGCAGGGAATAACCTAGGATGGGATGCCCATCTATTGTAGGGCACTATTATGAAAATATCACCAAAAAAGGCAGAACTCCCAACTAGCCAATTGGGTACAACATCAATGCTTCCTTATCAGAGCAGCAGGTTACACAAAGTATAGGGTTTTTAACTGAATGTTTTAAAATTAACCTCTCAGACACCCTAAATCTTTTAGCGGAAAATTTGCAGTTTGTTTCTGTACATTAATTTGTAACTATCTGCCATCATTTCAGAGACCTATATCAGCAATCTGAGCATAATGTGACACCACTAAATGATACCTATGCTTAGATCATATACAAAGTTTCTATATCCATCACATAAAATTCCTGCAACATTAAAACATGATCGGGTACCAGCTCTATCCAAACCTAGCTCTAATTTCTCATGTTGCATCTACAATTCAATATGATCTTACCAGGTCACATCGGTACTCGCCAAACTTGACACCACGGACGATCTGTTGGTAGATCAGGTTGGTGGCCACACTGTCATCACCTGGGTTGTGCCAAGGTGTGAAGATTTCCTTGCGGAAGAACAGCCTCCAGGGGGCATTGCGCTCCTGGGCACCCTGCTCCTTGGCATACTGCTCGCACTGGGACACAGCATCCATTACGTGGTCGTTCCCGCTGCCCAGGGAGGACACCTGTATGGTGAAATTCACAGTTGATGCCAACCTAGAAGGACCATATCTATAGTGCTCACAGAAAGCCTTAGGGCGCTTGCATAATTCTGCAAAAACGTTGCAAATTTATTGGTCTTATAACAAAAATCAATTAACAAGCAATATTAAACATATCTGCACATATCTTCCACACAGATGTTTTGTTTTTAGTAAGTGTCATAATTTTTTTTGAATCACTCATTCAATTCTGTGCTTGCCATTTTACTATTAATTGCAATTGTAGTAATTGGCTCCCAAACAGATGTATGGCATTGTGTGTTATTGCAAAGGTGTTACTTATTAAAAAGCACCCAGTGAGACTGCTTATCAATGAACTTTTTAGCTCGGAACAGCTCGTTTACAACTATAATTTGGATTTCAATTTATTACTACTTGAAATAAATGTTCTACTTACAACTACTGGTTGTTTTTAACATGATCTATATTTTTTGTAAACAAATGAGTAATAATTTTTGCTACAAACCAACAATTTTGCAAGCACCCCAAGACTTTCTGTGAGTAATGTATATGAAAATTGCTGTGAAATCCATGGGACAGCACCAACACTGCTGATTATGCTTTTCTGGTGCAAAGAGCAAACGGATTATCATGTAGTAGGTATTTGTGCATTAGCACAGTGTCTCTCAATCCGGTCCTTGGGGACCCACAATCGGTCCATGTTTTGGATTGGGAAACACTGCGTTAGCATATGTGTCTGCGTGCACCTTGTCAAACAGGGCAATGTAGAGGGAGAAGCCAAAGGTGTCGCTCAGGCCGACCCTTTCTGCCAGTGTATCACACAGCTCTTTCGCTGTGGTGGCCGAGTCTGTCAGCAGGGTCTTGGTTGTGCCGTCCATGAAGGTCACCGGGAGCATGATGGGCTTCTTTGACTTAGTGGCCTGGGGCAAGAAACTCAACCAAGTTAGAACCCATGTTTCCACAAATACCGATCGATTGACACATTGCCAATAAATTCTTTCTGATTTAATAAAAGCATCATAGACTATGTAGAATAAGGAAAGTAAAAAACAGCATTTTCAATCTCCAGCTGTCTGTAACTAAGAAGCCTACATACTGAAATACTTAATGTAGCTCAAAGAGCACTGTACAGCATCTGGTCAGTTATGAATTATATACATTAAGTGTGCATTACAATGGGTGTAAACAGCCCTCATTAGTATGAGAATGTCTCAATGCTTTGAAATGTCAAACACAAACAATTAAATGCTACACAAACGGACAAGATGTCGCATCATTCTTCAGCACTGGACGTGTTCAGTGCTATGTGGATAGTAAGGGCCTTATAATTGATAACGAAATTGATATAGTAAATGAGTTTAATGATTATTTTTCAAGGGTGTTCACAGTAGTTAACACAAGTAACTTACCACCAATTAATATGAATACAGCATCGTCTATGACCAATTTAT